AAAAACTAACTGTAAATCAGAGCTAGGGTTATTGGTGTATAATGTGTGGGGATTTTATTACTTATAGAAGAAAGTGATGAGGAACCGCTGGTTTGGGGTAGATTTGTTTTAAACATGTTGATTTGAAGGTGTTAATAGTACAAACAGATGATGGCACAGGCAGTTCAAAATGCCCCAAAGACAGACTGAAGGGCTGAGAAGAGCTAGCTTCCAGCTCGATGTAAAAGACTCTGGAGTTAGCTGCAGGCTTGCATATTTGTATCACATGGCCTTTTTTCTCCTTGACCCGCTCCATCCTCTTCCCCCAATATCGTAACTGTCACACAATTCAGTAGAATTTTGTTTGTGTAAAGAAAATGTAAGCCATGGAAGAAACACTCACTTAGGAGAATGAATATTGATGAAGGAAATGCAGGGAACATCTAGGAAAAGCGAAAGAAGTGGTCGAAGGAGTGGAGTGGGTGATTCAGCTTTATGGAAGCCTAGCCAGGGAAGGGTTGCGGATCTGAATTGTGCAAGGAGGTGAAGGCTGGTGATCACACTGGGAGCATCTCAGCTGGGTACTCAGAAGAGTACGCTGACATAAAAAGCAGAAAGCAGTGGTTGCCAGGGGCTGGGGTGTGAGGGAAACAGGGAGTTGTTGTTAAATGGGTATAAAGTTGCAGGTGTGCAGGATGAAAAAGCCCTAAACCTCTGTTGCACAACAGTACGCTTACAGTTAACAATACCGTATCGTATACTACATTGTTGAGAGGGGTTATGTGTTTTTACCATAATTTTTAAAAAGGGGAAGTAAGAAAAAAAGTTCTTGGTATTCTTCTGGAGACTGTAATGTGAGCAGAATTTGAGACAAAGATTCTTGGAACTGGCTGATTTTTTTTCTTTTTTCTTTTTTTGAATTGCTCCTATATAGATTCACTTTTAATTTAGTTGAGAGTTCTGCAATTACATTAAAATGGTTGGTTATGGGATTGAGTAGGTGTGACCATCAAAGCATTAACTCTGCAGAGCAGTCATTTAACATTCAGAAAGGCATCAAAATGCCTGAAGATGTGATTTAAAAAAAAAAAAAATGAGTCTAGAGCAGCACTGTCTGGGAGAACCTTCTGCGATGGCAGATGGAAATGTCTGCACTGTCCTGTTCAGTAGCCACGGCCACATGTGGCTGTCACTTAAAATGTGACTAGCATGACTGAGGAACTGCATTTTTAACTTTATTTCGTTTTACTGCATTTAAATTGAGTCACACGTGGCTGATGGCGACCATACAAGGCAACACAGGTCTAGAGACTTCAGAAAAGTGAATCAGGTTATGAATGAAGTAGGAACTCAGTCCTGAGCATTTGGATTTGAAGTAAAAGCTGAGGAAAGGTATCACAAGGTATTAGAGGACCCCAGAACTCCAGCTTATGGTTTTAAGGTGAATCTTTGGATATGAGGTGATCCTGTTTCTTTTGTATTTGATCTTACCCACCAACTTAAAAAACATACAGAGATGGAAAGTAGGTAGAGGGGGAAAAAAAACAAAACTCCCAGTAAAATGAGTTTACAGTAGAATTTTTGAGCTGCCTGGATCATTTAAAAAATTTTGTTTTCCACCTTCATATAAATAAGCAAAGCAGCCAACTGGGACAATACTGGAGTCCCCACCAGGAAAGGTGTTCCTTATACAGAAGCAGGGGCTGGGCTGGTCATTTTAGTAATGATGCCGTTTTAAAAACAACCGATGAAGAATACAGGCTGGTGAAACTTAAAAATGACGTTAGGTTTTCCTTCTCTGCAGGGTCTAAGCAGCTCTCTTAGGTCAGTTCACATCATCTCTCCCATGGGCTGTTGTAGTCAACTTCGCAGCTGGGTTTTTGTGTGTGGTTTTTTGTTTTTTGTTTTGTTTTGTTTGTGTCTCAGGCCCAGGGGCTACATCACCCCAGAATTGTGTTGTTGAAAACAGAGATCTGATCCGCAGGTCCTCTTCTTAGGAAATTTTGCCTCAAAAAAGTATATAATTAAAATTTTCAAGCACATTTCTGGATGCTGTTTTTCACTTGAAGTTATTGGGTTAACTGGACATTTTCTCAGCTGATAAAAATAAAATTGGTTCAACATTTTTGTGAGCATATTGCCAACAAGAATTTTAAAGATACTTATAACTTAAGCCCCAGTAAATTCATATCTGGGAATCTTCCTAAAGAAACTATCCTAAATACCACAAAATATACTCCAAAATCTCTTTCTACAAAGGTACTCAGCACAGCATTATTTATAACAGTGAAAACCGTACATAACTTTAATGTTCAACATTGGAGAAGTTATGAAGTAAACTAATTTTTAAAATGACCTCTCCCCGCATCATTTTGTGTATGCATCTACTATGGAATATATTATATGCTATATATAATTAATTGCATGCCGTTCTGCCAATTTAATTATTTTTTGTGTCCCCTCTGTACATAAAGCACTGTAAATGCCCAATGAATGCTTGCTGAATAAGTGAACAAATGAATGTGGACACAAGTGAAGTTGAGTTTCAGTTGCTTATCAATTGGTTAAAACTAAGAGATGTTATATTTTTTAAGTATGTGTAGTTCCATTTATAATGAAAATATTTGATTTAAACATCTCCTATTCCAGAAAATATTTTTGTAAGCAAAACAACAGTTTCAAACATTTAAAGGTAAATTCAGTTGATAAGTATATCAAATAGTGATTTTTATAAACAAATCATATTAGTAATAAATCATTCTGTCTCCAAAGTCCCTTTGTACATTTTTAGTTTATTTTTCTCTCCTTATATTTTCTCTAAATTTTATGTATTTCTTATACATATAATTAAAAGCCTCCACTTATCTCCCTATTGCCCTTTTTCTCCTCAAGCCTGTGATTTGTCTTCCCAACCAGTCTCTGACTGCTTTGTTCATTTGAAATGATCAGTCATAAAGGAAATTGTTTTTCACATGCTAGTGCATTAGGCTATATTATATAGAAAGTACTTGAACTTTTACTTTCTATAATTTACAGAGGCTAGCAAAGGGAAGAAATCTGTTATTTTCTTTTAAATATTTTTTTCTGGATAAATCTAGATTATGGTTGATGTAGGCAAGAAATATAAATATTAGATACTCTAAATTACTTCTTTTTACATGGAGTCCTCTATTGTACTTGACCAGTAAATAGATATATTTGTCATCACTTTATAAATATAACCTAGGTGCCTAGTTCTTTCTGAAACTTGAACAGTTTAAGATGATCATTATTTAATATATTTATTTTGATAGGACCCTGAAAATTGATGATGATTGTGTGCCAAGCTCATGAGGGCAGGAACCGTATCTATTTTGCTCACCCTGTATCCTCAGTGTCTATTAGAGTATCTGATTAAGCTCTCAAAAAGTCGTTGAATGCCTGACTGCCTACTTTGGCCAATTTTTTGTGACTGCTTCCTAATAAAGGAATTAAAGTCACTGTTTTGCATTTGGTAGGCTCTTTGATTGTAAGGAACAAAAAAGACTCATTACTTTATGGAGAGAGAAGGAAGAGGAAGGGAGAGAAGAGAAAGCCCATGAATAGGCTCTCCTTTTTCTAGTGAATCCATAGAAATTCTAGTGGTTTTCCCCTAAGAAGCAGGCCTCTGTCAATGCCTCCCCTGGTGCTTCTTTATTGTTTTCTCTTTGCCTCTGCTTCTGAGTGCTATTTTGTTTCTCCTCTCTCTGTCAGGTTATATTACTTTCATATAACTCTAGTACTCTAGAGTTACTTCTAGTACTCTGGACTCTTACTGCTCCAGCTAATTACCCTCACTTCTTTTTGGGCAGAACTTTTTCATCAAGGTCCCCATGGGCTGCAGATCAGCTTCTGTGTTTATTGGTCTAGTTTAGGTGGTCAGGAGACAAGGTCACATGAAATAGATATTGCCATCCTCAGATAAGGACCCACTTGGAGCTACTTCCTCAATTTAGAAGCTTCCTGAAGAGGGCTTGGTGGCACCTAACGCTTAATATACTCTCTTCCAGTAGACGCCTGTTCCCATGTTCTTTCATTTCCCACTCAGCCTTTATAATATTTATAAACCGTGGCATGGCCCCTATTTGTATATTGTGGTTTTGGAGGGCTTCTTTTTCAGAACTTTAGAGCATTACTTGTATTGTAGAAAATTAAGTGGCCATCTCTCCTGTCTCTCTCCTGGCTAAGGAGGACTGCAAAGCCTGAGAGCAGCCTCCTTCTGCCTGTTCCTGCTCCTCAACGTGGCTGCAGGGAAGGGAGTTATTTCCTGATTGGAATTTTTGTGGTTTATAGATAGATATTCACACTTAAATGGGAACACCAAAATATTTTTCAATTTAGAAAAATTAAGAAAAAGATGAAAAACTTAAAGAAGAAACATTGAATGGACATATCATTGGCAATTTGCCAGTTGTCAATACTAAGTAGACTATGCAGTGGAACAATATACATTGCTGAATTCTCCCATTTCTTAAGTAAATTAACCTCTGCCTCTCCAAGTTTTATATTTTTCTTAATTAAAGCTTCAAAGCTTTATATTAAATATGATTATTCTTATTTTATTCAGAAAAAAAAGAAACACAGGTCAGGTCATTGCTTTGGGAGTTGCATGTAATCCTCTTTGCATTTAACCTTCCCTTTAGCTTTCACATTGAGGTCTACCAGTGTACTAGTAGTGTACTATTAGATACGATTCTAGAATAACATGGAGGTTGATGGTTTTCAGTCATGTCAACAATGGGCTAAAAAATCTATGGTGCTTTAGAATATGAGTGAGGTAAATGATCTTTTGGGAGCCTCCTGTGCACCCAGCCTGTGGTAGGAGCTTGCCCTATTATCTTATTCACCCAACAGCCCAATGGGTTTTCTTTGATCTGAGAGCTAACACTTACCCAGATTTTACATAATTCTATTTATTTTAGTACCTTAGCAATACATTTGCATCAATTTAATTTTTCTTAGAAAGCCATCATTCATACATAAAACTTTTCTTTTAAAAACAGGATAAAAGAATCAGAGTATCTCAACCCTTGACAAGAGGACCAAGTGCCTTTATTCCAGAGAAGGAAGTAAGTTTATCTGTCTTAAGTACATAAAGCATGATAAAAAAAAAAATTGTACCAAAGAATATCTCCATTTTTAATATGGAAGTAAACATATGTTTTGCTCTTGTTTCTTATTTATATGTCAGAAAACCACAAAGATATTTTCAATTTCACTTAAAAGTTTGTGTGTGTAATAATTTGCTTATTTTAACATTAGGTAGCACTGCAAGATTAGAAACATAAATTTTAGCATATTTGATTTTAAATATAACTTTTCTGAGCAAAGCTACTAACAGTAATAAAATTTAATATTAACCTGAAGGTTTTAGGTTTTGAAATGGCCACTGTTTCTCAGTGATTATAAGTTATATAAATGTTAAGATAGGATATTTTGAAATGAAAAAGTAAGTTTCCCAATTAAACCTGTTATTAATAAAGCATGGTATTACATCACTAGTAGTTATTCTTTTCATTTGGTTGTAAGTCTTGATTGCACAGAATGTTACTGAATCGCCTATACAATCTGTAGCTTTGGTGAGGGTGGGGAGTCAAGATGGTAAATGCAAGAAAGGGAGACTGTAAAGTGACACAAAGGCGATTAGAATCAGTACAAGGTTTGTCCTGTTATATGCGCGTGCATCTCTATGAAGATCACAGCAACATGCAGGACCTTCTAGATTCCTAGATGCCTCTCAGATATACTTGGGGTAATAAAAGCTTAGGAACTACTAATTAAGGAATTTTTTTTCTTTGCTTCAAGGTGTTATTAACTCATATTGAATATGGTTCTATATACTGATTTACTATTGCAAAGGTGTCATTTCTCTTAAAGCACCCACCTTGTTCCTATATAGTTCCAAAATTAGTCAACAAATAGTATTTCTAGAGCATATGTTATGTGCCAGGCATTGTCTTAAAAACAGGGAGGAGTAGAATTTGAACAACACATGCCAGGTCATTGCCAGACTCAGCAGTTCCTTCATTTTCATTTCACTTTTGAAATAACCTTACTATTTAAATGAAAATATTAATGAAAGTTATTAATATTTTGGGAGCTCGGTGACTATAGCTCATCTAGGCAGGGACCATGCATTAGAGAAACTGCTGTGTGTGTGTTTATTTCCCTCACATAGTAGAGAAACTGTTCTTAGCAGAGTGATCACCTTGTATACATAAAGACTTCCTGAAACACAGTCATTTTCACAGTATATATATTTGAAAATAACCTGGTTTGCGGAAGCCACTGCTGTTTTCTGGATACACTGCACTATTAATGTTTGTCAGGCATCAGTTAAACAGAAGAGACTCCTGGGGAAAATACAACAGAAACAACAGATATTCTATCCTAATTATATGTAGTTTATCTGGATCCTATTATGTTTTCAACAATCATCTTGGTCCCTATAGTTGACAAAATGGGGAAAATGGGCAAATGAAAGTATATTTGGCTTTATAATGAGCTGAAGTGCAATTGCTTCTTTTTTATACCATTGTAATTAGCACTCCCTCACAATTTACGCTTTTCAAACATTATATTCGGGATTACATTTTTCTCAGGCAATAGTGCCTTTTATATAAATTGTAGTTATTTTTCAGAAGAGACTGTGAAGCCAGCCTTGAAGAGTTAGCAGTTTGCTTAATAGCTGTGTGGATCTTTCCAAAGAAAGACCGTTAGCCTGGACTTTAGGAGATCTGGATTCTGGACCAGGCTCTGCTATTAACTAGGTATATGAACTTGGATTTAAACTTGAATCTGTTATCTAAAATGAGGAATACATTCTTCTTAAGTCTAGAACTTGAATTCTAAAATATCAATAAATAATGAACCAATCCTAGAAATATGCATCTCATGTCTATTAATTTCCACAAAGCTGGGTCCTTCTACAAGGTGCTAATAAGCTCTTAACACCTTCTGAGCCAACTCTGGGTGTGATGCCCAAGCTGTCATTGTGTATAAAGCTATATGTAAATAACCTATTTTTGAGTTAGCTCTTTTGATTTCCTAGGATGGAGGATGTCCATTTTAATAACTTACCTTCTTTTAAGTAATTAACAGGATAAGCTCAAAACAGGAATGACAGTATTCTAGTGTCCTTATTAATTTTTCAATTAACACTTTCCTACAAATTATCATATTTTCCTTTGTCCCTAAAAAAGACTTCAGAAGACCTTTTTTAATTTAAATAATAAAAACAAGCAAAGGATCAGATTGAAAATATTTTTCTAAATATAATGTAATTAAGTATCTTCATAGGCTATTGAGATAAAATTGTAAATGTATGTAATCAAATGCCACTGCTTTTGCCTTACTACAAATTGGTGTGACTATAGCCACGCAAGTGGGCCCTGAAATTTTTGCCTTATGTTCCTGGCAAAGCAGATGGAAGCCTCTTTTCTCCAATTTCATGGCTGTGTGTGTAATGTTTGATAATTTGACATTTGTTGTTTAATAAATTGTGGTACCAGAGCCAAAAATGAGTGGTGCTTTCTTTCTTTATTTCTGTTCCTCATCTGAGCAACTGCATAATTTCAGTGTCTGTTAATATCAAAAGAACATTTGTTTGCTTCAATAGTGGCATGATTTATGAAAACCATGGACGTGTTTACTTCTCAATAATTATTTTGTTTTGGGTTTCTTTCTTGGTTGTAAGGTTTTCCAAGCAAACACAGTGGATGAACGTACTAACTTTCTTGTGGAAGAATACTCGACATCCGGGCGTCTGGACAACATCACCCAGGTCATGAGTCTGCACACTCAGTACCTGGAGTCTTTCCTGCGGAGCCAGTTCTACATGCTGCGCATGGACGGCCCCCTTCCTCTACCGCACAGGCACTACATCGCAATAATGGTGCGTTTGCTCCCCTGCTGCTGGGGTTCCCCGCACATCATCCTCACTTATTCCTTCTCCCTTCTAATATTATATGTGTGATTTTATGGGACTAAGAATTGAAAATCTGTGTCCTTTTGGATACCAAGTCCCTTGGAGAGTTTTTGAATGCTTAAACCACTTAATGTACTGAAAGTTTCTCATTTAATTTTCACCAAAACCATTTTCCACATTTCATTCCTTGTGATTAAAGATGCTTGTCGGGGTCAAAGTAATATCCTACAAGTTTTGTTTTTGCACTTGGTATCTTGTTTTTATTAATATAAAACGGCTGTTTGTGACATTTATTTAGTCATTTTTTACATAAAATATCACTATTTTGGCTAACAGGAAAGTATCAGTCAGCACCAATGGAGACTCTGGATAAGAGAAGAAGTCTTAAATGAATTATAAAGCTCTTTAACTATAGTACTTGGTACTAGTTAACTAGTTAATGTTCTGGGGAGAGAGAATTATAAATTGGGATGCTAGGCAGCAGGTATGAGAAAGGCAAAAAGAAGCAGTGCTTCTCTATTGCAGTTAAACTACAATATTACCAGAGAAAAAGAGGCATAAGAACATGAAGCAAGTGCTATATGTTTGGAGATTTAGAGCAGCTGGGCTGGCAGAGCTAGGGGAGCTAGCCAGAAGTTAGCAGATTCATCAGATTCATTTTTACCAAGTTTAATTTGATTATCTTGTTTATGCTCTCACTGAAGTTTTAAACAACAAAAAAAGGGCAGCATACTATGTTTTATTGAATGACGCACTTGCCTAAGACTATAATTTTAGCTTAAGGATTTGAGGACAGTAAGGCTAAAAGCAGACCTAGAATGGCTGTAAACTAAGAAAGAAACAAGATCTAGAAAACAGAAAGAATAAAACAATACTATTTTACTGAGGAGGAGCCCTGAGGAAAGGAGTGATGAATAGTCTGCTTTGCGTGAATTTACCAAATTGTCATTATAAAGGCTCAGTTTGTGTGGGAAGGAAAGGGTCAGTGATTTTCCATTTCTTCTCAATTGGGGTGATGTGCACAGATAACACTGACATCACAGTTCTCTCAAAGGCAATAAGAGAATTACCCAAATTAGCGTGCATCCTGAGTTGCTACAATACAAAGTTAATGAGATTTTATTGTGTTGTAAATAGAATACAGTTCATATAATTTACCGTAACGAAACGGACTTGTATTTTCTTAACAAAACAAGTAAGTGGCTTCTAGGTTGACCAGTACCAACTTCTAGAAGACTTCGCTTCATGTGACTATTTGCTTATACAAGTGTCAGCTTCATGTTTTGATTCCAGAACTTGTGGCAGCATCGTGATGGAAGTTTTAGAAGGAGGAGGATTCTGTAAGAAAAGAATTATTGCGTATAAAAATGAATAATTCCACCTGTATGTTTGTTTAGAAATTGTAGAATAAGACTCTGCCATGACTGTTTTATCAGCTAACTCTTTGTGTTTTAGGCTGCAGCTAGACATCAGTGTTCTTACTTAATAAACATGCATGTGGATGAATTTCTAAAGACAGGAGGCATTGCTGAGTGGTTGAATGGTTTGGAATATGTCCCACAAAGACTGAAAAATCTTAATGAGATAAATAAGCTACTAGCACACCGACCTTGGCTGATCACGAAAGAGCACATTCAGGTACTGAGCGCTTATCTGAAAAAATATGTTTACTGAAGATTCTAACTAAGGGTCAATTTTTTAGTTAAGTATTTTGCTTAAGACTTAATTTTAAATACTTGCATATTAGGACTTGAAAAATAAAAATGGTGTATTAATATGTGTAGAAAAGATAAGTTTGGAAAGTCAGCGGATTTAAGTATAAATGGATCCTTCTATTTAATCAGTGATTAGCTTGTTACAAGTGCTTTAATGAATGGCTGTGAGAAAAGTTGATTTCTATTTTCAAGCAGTAGGCAGAACCAAGAAAACACACTAGCATGATACAATACCTGGGTTCTAGCCTCTACTCTGTTACTTACAAGTTTGTGACCTTTATTGATTTAAGTTTTGTGGGTCCAGTAGTTCCCCCTTCTATAAAATAAGGGCCTGGATTAAATGAGTTCTAATCTCTTTTCTAGTTATAACATTTTCATAATTTTAAGATTTTCACAAATGATTTTGCAGCTAGAAAGTAATTTGGCAGCTGGTGTGTGAATGCTTAAATGCTTCTAGAAGCTGGGGCTCAGATGAGAAATAGAGTTGTGATTGACTAGAGCACTTACACTTCAAAAGGCGCTTCCATCAAAGGCCTACAGGGTGAGGTCATTATATAATATCCTCACACTGGGCTTGCTACTTGGTAACTATTTAATAAATAGGAGCTGTCATCTAAATTATCATCGGTAGAAGCCTCAGGTATTTAAAATCCCTGCTTCTAATGCATTGAAATGTCCTTTTTGAGAAATCCTCTTTTTTTTTTTTTCAGAGTTCAGCTTTTTATTAAACATGTTACAAGAGGTTTAGTCAAAAAGACCAAAGCCCATGTCATTCTCAGACTCCTCAGATTCTTCTTTGTTTGCTTCCACTTTCTTCTCCTCAGCTGGGGCAGCAGTGATGGAGGGGGCAGGACCTCCTGCTGGTGCAGCTCCTGCTGCTGGGGCAGGTCCACCAGCCCCTACATTGCAGATGAGGCTCCCGATGTTGACATTGGCCAGAGCCTTTGCAAACAAGCCTGGCCAGAAAGGTTCCACATTTACACCGGCTGCTTTAATGAGGGCATTAATCTTATCCTCCGTGACTGTCATCTCATCGTCATGCAGGATGAGGGCCGAGTAGATGCAGGCGAGCTCCAAGACGGAGGCCATGGTGCAGACGAGTGCTGGGCGAGCGCTGCCGGGCGCGGTGCTAGTCGCCGGATGAAGTGAGGGCCTCACCCCAACACGGCCTTAGCTTCCTCGGAAGGTCTGAGCACCTTAGCGGCAGCTGAGGAAAGGGGCGAGAAATCCTCTTACTTGACGACATTTTTTTAGTTATTTGCCCAGTTAAACGAAACTTAGTTTTTGTCAGTCTGTATACTCAAATTTTGATTATCTGTTTGGGAATCTGTGAAGCACAGTGTTGCCCTGAGTTTTACGTTCTAGTTCATAATAGTTAGATACAGGAATTACTCATTATTTTTATGTCCAATGTTCATTGCTTTGCATCAGAACTTTGGTGGCTCTAAAAAGATAGGCCGTGCCTTTGAACATGCTCGGAGTCTAGGGAAGAAGAGACAGGGAGGTAATGACAATAATCACAGCACAAGAGGATATAAATGTGTAAGTCAAGAGAATGAGACCAGGAGGTTTCACGAAAGAGGTAACATGTGAGCTAGGTCTTGAAGAGTAAGTGGGAGTTTTCAAGTAGAGGAGGGCATTCCAGACGGGAGAATATGAAATATGATGGGTTGTCGGAAAAGTCATGATGCATTTTTGCAATGGAAAACATATAAAAAATATGTCATGACTTGTCCGACAACCCAATAGTTAACAGCTTCAGGTTACTGACGTGGAGAAATGGTTATATAAGGTGGAGGATAGGAAATGGGCAGAATTGGGATCATGTTGTATGACCCAATGAGTACTGCATTAAAGAATTTGTGTTTTATCCTCAGAAAGTTATGGTGTCCAAGGTTATATTATGGTACTTCATGGGGTACACAAGCCAGTCCTTCAAAATGTTAGAAAATATGTGTGTGTGTGTCTGTTGTGTATGTGTATTCTTATATCCTTTTATATTTTTCGTGTATTTCATAATAGTACTATAGTACATGTACATAACTAGTCTATGTAATATGTATTTTATAAGTATATATTAATTTATAAATAAATGTATGTAACTATCAGGGGATGGGCCCCCAATTGTTACTGTCAGAAACATATATTCACAACAGAGCTTAAGAGATCACTGTGATAAAGATTCAAGAATCATTAAAGGTTTTGAGCTGAGTCATAATATTTGCTGATGTAGAAGATACATTACAAATGGTAGACTAGAAGCAGGGAGGCCCATCATAAAACAGTTGCAATAAATCTACCTGAGAGGTGATTTTTTTTTTTTTAAAGCTATGGGGAGATGAAGAGGAGGGATCAGACTGCATGTAATTATTCTACATGAGAATAAGCAGGACTTGGCGACTGGCAGAATGCGAGGATGGAGAAAGGGGGTGGGATAGGAGAACCATTCTGAGTGGCAATGCCAGGAGCAGGGTTCATACACAGGCCCGAGGACAGAAGACTGTGACGTCCATGTAGGGATGTCCAGGTACTAAAGGAAATACAGGTCTGTGGCTCAAGATAAAGGCTAGAGTAGAAATAAAATTGGATAGTTATTTACAGATAAGCACAGGTCAAGTTGAAGGAATGTGATCCATCCAGGGAGATATTGTACAAGGAAGAGAAGATCATGAATAGAGCAGAGCAAGCTAACATTGTGGAGGCAAGCAGAAAAAGAAGAGGGGCTGTGAGCGAGATGAACAAGGATCCATCTCAGGTAGAAAGGGCACCAAAAAACGTGTGTGTGTGTGTGTGTGTGTTTGTGTGTGTGTGTGTGTGTGTGTGTGTATGAATTGCTGAAGTCAAGGGAGATTAATTTCAAGAAGAAAGTGAGAGCAATGTAAATTCTGCAGAGATCAAATAGGATAAGGACTAAAAAGAAATAGTCAGACTTGGCCATTTCGAGGTCATATGTGACCTTAGTGAAAATAGCTTCAGGAGTTTGTTTGAAAAATAAATGATAATTATGAATAAAAGGTAGATGTGACTATGCGGTGAGAAATTTGAGATGATGAATATTGGCTATCCTTTCAGGTTTAATGATAATCTTAAAATGTAAATTTTACCAATCCTTTTAGAAAGCTTTGGTGGTTATTATCAAAAGTCATGAAAATATTAATACCCTTTGTTCCAAAAATCCTATTAAGAATTGTTTCTGAAATGTGAACAAAGCCATAGCATGAAGATGCTATTTATAGTAGTAAATCAATAAAAATAATTCAGAAGCAATTTGCATGTCTAACAGGAAGGGAATGGAGTAGTTCTATACAACCACTGCTGGACAGTATAGCCTATGCTTAAAAATTATTATAAAACTGTAGCCTTGAGAAATGAACACGTGAAAATGTCAAGTTTGGAAAGCAGAAAAAAAATAGATATGTACTCTGATTATATAATTTTGCTTATAAAAATCAAAGAAGATATATAAAAGTTGCATTAGGGTGGTAGAATATGATTACTTTTCCCTTTTCCCTGAGCTTTTGGTAACATAGTAAAGTGTGTGTGTGTGTGTGTGTGTGTGTGTGTGTGTGTGTGTGTGTGTGTGTGT